TGTTTAGTATTCTTGTAGACCCTTTTGGGACCAACAGAATCTAGATTCAAAGATATACATGAAAGTGCTTAAATGGCCTTCCACTACCCAATTAAAATAACTCTAAATCATGGAGTGCGTTTGCAATTAAACTGAAATGCTCACTCTATGGATTAAAATAATCTGGGCGGACGTGGTATATATGTCTAAGTGAATACTTGATTGGGAAGGGATATAAGAACAACGAATTTGCCCTTGCATTTTTATAAAGAAGACAAGTTCTGGATTTTCAGTTATAACTGTATATGTTGATGATATGAACATAATAAGTACTCTTGATGAAAGAAGAGACACTGCAAGCTATTTCAAATTTGAATTTGAGATGAAAAATCTTCGAAAAACTCGATTTTGTCTAGGTATAAAACTAAAACACCGAGCTTGTGGAATCCTTATCCACCAATCTGCTTATATCCAAAAAATGTTCAAGCGATTTAATATGGATAAAGCGTATCCGGTTAGCACTCTCATGATCGGTCGAAGCTTGGATATAAGGAAAGATCCATTTCGTTCAAAGGATGATGATGAATAGGTGTTGGGAGCTAAAATTTCCTATCTGGCCCATGCAAAGGTCGTTCCCAAACATGATATGTTTTTTACAATTGGGAACACGACGATTTATTGGAAATCTACCAAGCAAACCCTTGTACCTACCTCCTCGAACCATTCAGAGATTATTGCTCTACATGAGGTAGTTCGAGAGTGTATATGACTAAGTCTGCCATTACACATATAAGAGGGGCTAATGGTTTAAGTTCAATCACTCAAAATTCTACATGCATATATGAAGATAATGCAACTTGTATCAAACAAATGAAAGTAGGATATATCAAGGGTGATAATACAAAACATATTTCGGCAAAGTTTTTCTATAATCAGCAACAACATATTATCTCTAAGATTCAAGTAAGATCTAAAGAGAATGTGACTGATTTATTTACCAAATCACCTCCTAAAGCCACATTTGAGAAACATGTGGAAAACATTGGAATACGTACATGTGCATTGCTATGTTGTGTTCTTTCCTTTATCCAAAGTTTTATTTTTCCTATCGAGTTTTGTTCATTGGTGTAAGGTTTTAGTGAGACAAAAATTTAAATACGATCTTGTTTTTCTTAACTCTTAAGGGGTAGTTTGACAGTTGTTGAATGGTTCGGTGCAGAAAGATTAAGTGGTCAGAATGATTAGGAGGCTTTCATGATATAGTGCAAAATGAAATATAATTGTTTGGTAATTGTTTATGAAAATATGGTGCTTAATGGTTAAGGGAAACCCTTGATATAAAATCATTCAGAGGGTTTTAGAACCATTAAGAGACATACTTTTTTACCAAACAAAATTCACCTCTTAACAATTCAAAGACTGCCTCTTAATGGAACTATTAAGAGGTAAACAAATAACCCCTTATGTTTGATGTACCAATTTGAGGGAATACCAGACTAAAGGAATAGTCTATAAACGGGTTCGTTTTACTCTTTTCTTCGTCCCATTTTATTTTTTTCTACTGGGTTTTATTTTGACGTAAGGTTTTTAACGAGACATCGATAGTGCACCATCTCTCTGTTAACTAGACACAAGGGAACAAAAAGATATGACTATAAATATATAAAAGATAGAGATAGATAGATATATTAAAGTTAGATTAAAATTATGTATGTCACCACTATTTCTCCAATAGAATCCATATCTAAGAGAACCCAAGCTGCCAACGACGAGGGACGATGCCTACCAGATCCAAAATTACCCCCGTCGTCATACTATGGGGTTTCATCATTTTTGGAACCCTAGTACTCTTTCTGGTAATTTACTCTTCATATCTTATCAATCTTCAATCACTTATGGTCATGATCTGGATGTATGATTTAATAATGTTGGTTTTTACAGAATCGGATTAGTGATCATGGAATTTCTTCAGGAGAAAAAGCTTTAAACGGTCAGGTCAGTCATAAGGTTCCTTTTTCTTTCTTCTTCTTCTTCTTCTTCATGTGGGGTGAATGATTATCTTTGATGTAGGCTTGATCCTATTTGCAACTAATTGATGTTTTGGACTTTTGGTTGATCATGATTGACCTAATTCACAGCCTTGACTGGGATTTGATAGGACAATTGTAACAGGATTATGGATTATTGATGATTTAACTAGGGTTTATAGCTTWGTGATATATATGCATTGATGATTGCTTATTAGGYAGAGKGACCAGAAGGGGATCTAGATGAAGTTACACACAGGGTTTATTTTGATGTTGAGATTGGTGGAAAGCCCATGGGTATGTTCAATTGTCTGCACTCTTTGTATATACATTGTTAAATTGGCGATTGCTTGTTTCTTAATTCAAAAAGCCTTTTATTTGAACCGAATATAGATGGATGCTGCTAATTTTCTTGGATAAGCATTGTGATTATTTGATAAAAATAATGAACATTTGAATCTTGCTCAAGAACTTATGGTGTGATGGCTTATATCTACATGCTGGCTAACAGGGTGCTTGGTGAACTTATGAGCTATGGCTATCTTGTGACATTCTATTACCTCATCTATGGTCCCTTGATTCTTGTTTTGATCTTTACCTATTTGATTTTCTGAAGTGATGGTCCTTTAGTCAAATTTACCAATGTTTGCAAGGAATATGAGTGTTTGATACGTTTGTATTTGATTCTACAATTCTGAAAAATTGAGGATGCAAGTCTTAACACCAACCAACCAACCAACGAAAGAAAGGAATTATTACAATAGTTCCATACATTTAATATATTTAAGAGTATATATTCAAGCCTAGGTTTTATACCGTTACTATATATATGCAACACTCCCTTATTCAGCAAAACTGTTGAGGAAAAAGAATATGTTGTACTGGGCTTTAACAATTATCGAATAATACAGACATCCCTCTATTTTCTCCCTCGCAATACATCGGATTGTAAGTTTAAGATTTTTGGCAACATTTCTATTTATAATTTGTGGATTTTCATTTCTTCGTTACAGAAGATGAAAATTATCCATCCTGAATAGTGTGAATCCCACATCTTCTGTTTTCATGGTCAACAATTTGGGAAAACAGTGAATTTTCCATCCTGTGAACACCCACTGCACTTGACACAAAGAACCACATCCCAAAAGCACCTATGCTTCCTAGAAATTTTGATCTGTGCTAACGATCTCTTACTTTAACATAGTTTTTCATTTCTAGAAGCAAAAGAAAACGTTTACTAGATGTTGCATTGTGATTATGTCAACTTCGAACACCTTGCTTTCAGGACGCATAGTCATGGGCCTCTTTGGGAAAACAGTGCCAAAGACAGCAGGTACAACAGACTCGTTATATTGAAAGTAGTCTTATTTTAAACCCTTGTGGGTAGATCAACTGGTAAGACCTTGGCTTTGCTCCTCAGTGGTCTCATGTTCGAGTCCCCTCAGGGCCACTGGAGGTTTGCCTTGCGCTGTTAACTTCAGGGCCCCACGGGATTACTCGAGGTGCGCGCAAGCTGACCCAGAGACACACAATTATCAAAATAGTCTTCTTTTGTATGTTTTTAGATTTGTTAATGTACAAATGACTTAACAATGATTCTCTATGCAGAAAATTTCCGAGCTCTTTGCACAGGTAACCAAGTAACTTTTATCCCCTTGCTATCTGTTCTGCTCTGTTGCAAGTGATGTTGAATCAATTTCCTTTGATTCCTGTAGGGGAGAAAGGAATTGGAAAAAGTGGAAAACCCCTCTATTACAAAGGGAGCGCATTCCATAGAATCATACCGAGCTTTATGATTCAGGGAGGTGACTTCACTCGCGGTGATGGGCGAGGTGGAGAGTCGATCTATGGTGAAAAGTTTGCTGATGAGAGCTTCAAACTCAAACATACTGACCCTGGTAAAAGCAGCTTAAATCTTGTAGAAAATGAGAACTTCAATTCCTCCTATAAGAGTTGGTTCAAATGTGATATGGGTGAAGTGATTGATTCTAAAAACCATCATATTTTGCTGCAAAAATAAACCATTGTTCTTGCAAAAATGCAAAAGAACATTAGAACTTGCAATACTGGTGATTTTGGGCATTTAGGGTGCATATGGTACACAGATGGAACAGGACAGGTGAGAGTGAGTTAGGTGGTAGGGTTTTTATTATAATTGGGTAATTTAGTAATTTACCAATCTTGTTTTTGTTCCACCTATTTTTATAGGAAAAAAAAATGCATTCTGTCTCACTCGAGGTCCTGTCCTGCTCTAATGTCCCACTAAATGTGGGATAACAAGTTCTTGTACCCTACCAAACACACTCTTTTTTTTATTAGCCTGGACATCCAACCCGCTATGCGAGCCGACTAATCCCAGGGCGACCACCTGCTTTGCAGATAGCCCGGAGTCACTGCATTTGAACCTCCGTGGCCACAAGGGGATTTTTTATTCCTCCTTGGATTTGAACTTGGGACCTCCCGGTACTTTTGACCTTTTGAGACAAGCTCAAACCAATCAGACACCACCCTTGTGGTTACCAAACACACTCTTAGTGTCAAGTAAAATGGTTCTTTTTGTATTTTTGCAATTCCATTGTTTGGGTTTTTGTTGCGTTGAAACCAAAGTGAGATGATTGAAAACGTGAAATCAGTTGGTCTGAATGTTTTATTCTTTTGACCTAAAAACAGGAATTCTGTCTATGGCGAATGCTGGACCCGACTCAAATGGTTCTCAGTTTTTCATCACCACAGTTATAACGAGTTGGTAAGCTTACTTGTTATGTTTTGAGTTGGTTTAACAGCGACAGACTTCCAATCTCTACGAGTTTTAAAGTTTCATCAGATATTCTCTTAAGAGATCTTAAATGAAACCATATCCATTTCGAAGCTGAGATGAGAAGGTCTTCAAAAGTCAAACTTTTTCGGGAAACTGATTTCTGTCAGTAACCCAGATACCAGTTGGCCAACGCCTCTTTTGGTTAATTTGGTTGTTTGTTATGATGTGAAGGTTGGATGGACGGCATGTGGTGTTTGGCAAGGTGGTGTCGGGGATGGATGTAGTTCACAAGATTGAAGCCGAAGGAACACAAAACGGTACACCTAAAATCAGAGTCGTCGTCGTCAACAGCGGTGAACTGCCCTTGTGATTGGTTCCCATTCCCAATATCTATTGTAACACTTTCCTACTTCAGAACTTCTACTAGCATCTATTTCAATATCCATACATTTCCAAACAAACTAGCTTCCAAAGCTTCAAGGTACCTCTATAATTTTTGACAGCTCTCAGAAAAAAGTGACTCTGTTGCCCAATTGGAGGCTGCCATGTGGCATTTAGAATTTCAAAAAAGATTCCTCGATAAGCCAGGCCCACTTGAGATCTCACAAGTCACAAGTGTGGTCAGGTCCCCTCAACCAATCTCCATTGTATAACTAAAAGAAGAAATGAATTTTAATCACAGGGACTTCTTGTTGTGATCATGTATTTGGTGATTGCGAATCTAGGATTTGTATTAAATCTCCCTGTGGTTCAAATGCGTTGACTTCGGGCTATCTGCAAAGCAGGTGGTCGTCCTGAGATTAGTCGGCTCGCATAGTGGGTTGGATATCTAGGTTAATAAAAAAAATGAACCTAATTAAAAACCAACGACTGATAATGTAACAACGGCTCCTTCGTTCTAAACAAAATACAATCGTCGATTAAGTACAATTTTTAAAACGGTACCAAACCCTTACCTTACGTTATCAGTTAGCCATCAATATGGATTATAAGCACAAATTGAAGCAATTAATTTGGTTCGGAAACCAGGAAATGAATCTCAATTTGAAACAACTAAACGAATCATACAACATAGATTTATAATATAAACTGGTTTTCCCATCTTCAGATTCCCTCCGTCAAGAACACAACAAATTACACACAATCACTCCGATATTCCATAAGCAGAAATATAAATCCAACACTTAGAGATTATTAAATTCCGAAAAGTCAAAATTAACATCATAATCGACAAGAAACCATGACGATGAAAAAGAGGGAATATTGGAATTACTGCAAAATCGATCAAAACTCTTATTCTGGTTTGTCTGCATCAGTCTCCGAATTCCGTTGATGAAACACACTCGAGAAGTTCGTAGAGAGATCGGAGTAAAGCGACACGATTTTCGAAACGTTGTTGTTGATCTCTTGAATTAGGGCAACGTTTATCACCATATTTTCATGAATTTTGGACCGGTGATTCTCGTTAACCTGATGAATCAACACTCGGTTTCGGTCCAATACGGATTGGACTTCACGGAAGCTATCGGTGAAGTTACTCCACACCACCTGGGATCCTTTGCTATTCTGTTCTTCATCGGAGAGACCACCGCCGTCGAAGCGACGGTCATTGGTGGCGGACGGAGGTTGTTGAAGATTCGATGATTCATCCATACTCGATTCAGCGGCGGAGGAAGAATCGAGGGTTGTCATTCAATCAAATCATTTATCAGATTTGATGAAAGCTTATGTTTTGTTCGTCTCAACTCTCAAGTCCACGTGAACCTGAGTGTATCGGGTCGGGTTCGGAGAATAAACCGAAAACACCGGCTCTTACCAATCGCCGTTTGTTCGTTCGTTTCATAAAATCCAATATTTTATTTTTATATTTTAACTTGTTAAGTTGTAATATATGCATCGGGTAAATACAATAAAAACGTCTATAAGTTACAAATTTTCTAAAGTTAAAAACTTTATGAATCAAGCAATTATGTTTTATTTTTCTCTCATCTAGTAAGAGGTAAACCAACCTCTTATTTGTTTTTTATTGTTCTTAATAACCTCAGTTGCGGGCATTTCTCATCCACTCTTCTCTCAGCAGATTAACCTTAATCGATCATTTCTCTCAATCGATCCTCACCCCTCACAAATCGATCCTCGCCTCTCAATTGATTGGCCTAAATCGATCCACGGTCTTAATCGTTCCGAGGTTGTTGATCTCAATTGTAATGAACTGTCATGAATTTTTAGAAACCATGTTTCATTAAATTTGGACATAGGATTGTAATCAAATGTCAAATTGGATGGTTTTGTGCTTCTACTGTTAGTAATAAAGATTGATTTTAGTTGTTAGGAAACCTCATTCATATGTCTTATTGTGTTTGGATCAATCAATGTATTTTGATAGGATTTGTCGGTATATTTTGGTTAAAAGGAATTGCTAGTTCATAATTAAGATGTAAACTTTGTAATGATGATGAGTAAATATATAAAAGTGTATACATGTATATAAATTCAACGTTATAATATTTTGAAGGGTAAGATAGACAAATTTACAGATTCAGACATCTATCAGTTTACAAAAACAAACAGTTTTATTGATTCTGCTTTCAAACTTCAACACCACCTCTTATTAGTTAGAAATGAAATAAGACTTCAGACTTCAACACATCTTAAAAAACAAACAACATCTAAGTGTTTATACTTAAGAAAAATGACCGAGGGTCGTTGGAAAGTAGGTGACTACATGATAACCGTTATCTTGAGAGTGGGTAGGAGCATGGGCGGACCTACAATGGTGGTTACGGTGGCACATGCCACTGTATTATTTCTTTGTCAAAGGGTAAAAAAATTCAGGTTCGTGAAAGGTGTAACCGTATTAATCTGTTGTGTGCCATCGTATTATTTTGAAACTACAATGAGAACAAATTTTATTTGGTAGAGTTGGTTTGCAAGGCTTTTATTCCACTCCAGATCCAAATTTAAATCTTGTTAGTGTCATTTTCTTAGTCAAATAGTGTCACCGATTGAAAAAAAATTCAGTATATTTGTTTCTTATAGTCAACGGTGCCACTATTTGAAATTTTTTCGCTATAGTTTTTTTTCTTATAGTCAACCGGTGCCACTGTTTGAAATTTTTTCGCTATGTTTTTTTGCTTCTTATAGTCAAATGGTGCCACCGTTTGAAAAAAAAATTATGGGTCTGTCCCTGGGTAGGAGAGTAGTTGAAGAAAATATGTGTTTGGGGATAGGGCATATAATTTGCATAAATGATGTTAGATGGTGTGTCTATACGGGTAATATTTTTTTTGAGAACCCGTGAAATTTTGACAACCTTGAGAATTTATGCATAATGTGTTATTTCATATGATTTTTTTTCATCTAAGACTAGGATTTAGAATATTAATTAACATATATTTGTTTCACAATGTGTTTGTTCACATGTACTCGGTTCATAAAGTGAACACTTTTACGTGTTTGTGAAACAAAAGTACACGTAAAAGAGTTTTACATTGTGAACCGAATACATATGAAACAAACACGTGAAACAAATATATGTTGTGCATTAAATACTATATTTCGACGGAAAAGTTCATGTGAAACAACACCTTAAGGAAGAAGTTCTCATGGATCTCACAATTTTTGGAGTTCTCAAATGATTAAGCCCCGTATGTGTATGTGTGTGTGTGTGTGAAAGGTTGAGTTCCTGTGAGAAGGAGAGTTAAGGTGAGAAACGTAAGAAATGTAAGAAATGATCTTCACCCTTGGATGCATATTAGGATGAGATGCATCGAGATGACACAAGATCAATCCTTATATCAAACGTGATTCATGGGTGAGTTTGAGATTAAAGGTGATCAAGGATCCAAACCCCTTCTTACACTTCTTACCTTAACTCTCTTTCTCACATGCTCATTCGCCTATATGGAGTTATAAAGAGTATATAAAAGTGATTTAATGATCAAATTACCATTTCATGGGGATTTTGATGGATGTTCAAAGTGATTTAATGATCAAATTACCATGTTCACAATGAGGAATAAAAATCCCCTTGTGGTGACGAAAGTTCAAATGCAATGACTCCGGACTATCTGCAAAGCTGGTTGTCGTCCTGTGATTAGTCGGCTCGCATAGCGGATTGTATATCCAGGTTAATAAAAAAAAACAACCCCTAAATGTGAGTTCATTCGGTCCATTAAGTTGCTAACATACATTTTCTAAATGAAATTCTTATTTACAAGTATGTCACTTTGCCCAGGAAATAACTTCTCACACTCTACGACTATGTTTGTCAAACTAGTTGATAAGCTAACTGGTAGCTGATGAACAAATCACGTTTGCAAAAAACTAGCTGATGAACAAATCATGTTTGCGAAAAACTAGCTGATAAGCAGATGAAAAATGTAAAATGATGAAAAATGACATCTCAAAATTTATTCAATTCCAACATTTTGTATTATAATTAAAACAAATTCCTAATAATATAGTACGTTAAAAAAATACAAACAATATAGTAAAAAAATCAAATAATATAATATGTTAATTAAAAGAATTTCAGATTGATCATATATACTAC